CAGCCACTCCTCAGAAGGAAGGTTGGGCAATCCTACTTCTGTAGTGATACTGCCTCGGAAACCCAAGGAGGGGTCGCTATGAGTCGGGGCTGACTCGTCGGCAAGTAATAACAACAACAACAGGAAGTTATCCACTTTTTTCAAGACTTTAAAGTTAATTCTATATTTTGTGCATAATTCTTATGTTGTAAACTACTAAACATTTTATATCTTATTATATCCTTATATCTTTATCTTTTGGTCTTGATTAATATCATCCCTTTTTTGGTTCATTTATTTGTTGCTTTTTTTCTCTTTCACTAACCTTTCTTTTCCTTTGAAAAAATGTCTAATTTTAAATCAGAATTAGCCATGTTTATGAAGTTAAACAGTCTTCAAGGCTAATAATAATTTTTTAAAGCCTCCTGCTCCACCCTTTCTTGACTTACTTCCCACTCCCTGGAGATAATATGCTTTTAAATTGTTTAGGTATTTCTTCGTTTAATTACCTGAATATTTCAAACCAAAGCGATTATACTACTATTTCCTAATTTTTCAGTATGAGTTATTATGTATGACTTTAAACTAGTAAAAATGGGGTTTAGTAAATATAGAACAGCATGGACTCCATTGCATAAAATCAGAGTGATATATACATTGACAGAATAAGCCTAAATTTATTCTTCCCAAAAAACTCACTGCCATCAAGTTGATTCTGACTCATAGCAACCCCCACTGGATTTCCAAAGCTCTAAATCTTTACAGAAGTGGAGTGCTTCATCATCCTCCCATGGAGCATCTGGTGGGTTTGAACTACTGACCTTCTGGTTAGCAGCCAAATGCCTTAACCACTACACCACCAGAGCTCCTAAATTTACACTATAGTATATGAAATTTTTGCTTTTAATGCTATTCTTTTAGTTATTGTAGCAAAGATGTAGCAAATCTCCATTAATTTACAATCTTATCGTGATTGTCATAAGATCGATACAGAAATTAATTTATATTTGAATCATTTGACTTAGATTGAGAGGACCCTAGGTGGCACAGATAGTTTGTGCTTGTCTATTAACCTAAAAGTTGGTGGTTCAAACTCACCCAGCAGCACCCTGGAAGAAAGGCCTGGCAATCTGCATCCATGAGTTGGAATCGAGTTGATGGCAACAAGTTTTTGACTTAGATTAGTTTATCAGGGAGGCACTGAACTACTGTGCAGGCACTGAGCTATGCCAAATCCTAAAGAAGAAATAGGAGCACAGGATGTATAAATACTGATGTGAACAAGAAGAAAATAAGATTAGAGTATGTGATTCCATTCAGGGTAGACACAGACAAGTGAGGGGAGGCTGGGAAATGGAAATTAATCATAGAAAGGGAGGCCACCTGCCTTACTTTAAGGCAAGCCAAACACTGTACTTTCAACTGAATTACACCTAAGCTTGTGGCACAAATCATGCTCCTTCTATATTTGTCAAAGTAAGTGATACACAAACTAGTTCACTTCCTCTCACCTTATTTTAAGCATTACTTTGAATGCGGCTGACCAGTGAAAATCAATACATGCCTATAGTGATCTATGATGAATGTCAACTCTTTTCTTTCCTCTCTGCTGGAAGATAGATTTAAAAGCTTATTTCTAATGAATCAATATGCAAATGATTAAATTCCTCTTCTTTCTTCCCTGTTTGCTTCTAGTTTAAGCTGGCAAGGCCACAAAGCTAGCAAAATTCTACCTCATTATTTATTCCAAAGGCAACATTTAAATTTATTCTTTGCCATAATAAGGCTTAAACTGAAGAGGTTGAGAGAGAACACTGGCTAGAGTCTCAATAGTGAGATTAGTTAATCGAATATCCTGGTCGATTTTAATTGAAAACTTTTGCCAATTTACTGTGGTGACAAAAGGTAGCTTCACTTCAAAATGATGTCTATAGAATTGTGGTCTACTGTGAAATAAATATATTTAATGAATTTTACTGATTTGAATTAAATGCATTTTTTTCTTAATTTTTAAAATGAATTTTGACAGATCAGAGTCAAGGAACATTTTCATAATGGACACTTCATCCAAGGAAAATATCCAGTTATTCTGCAAAAATTCCGTGCGACCTGTTGGAAGTCCTTCCTTGAAAACAGAATATCCCTGCCCGGAGGAAAAACAACCTTGTTGTGGTGAGCTAAAGGTAGAGTAACAGACAATTAAGGGGAGTAGAAGCTCATGACTATCCTGGTATTTTCATTACAGAACCACACCTTGTCACTCAGAGAAAGGAATTGCTATCTGAACTTGTAGATGAAATTATTAAATATCGCTTTCCTACATGGGGTTATTATGAGTCAAAATCAATTCAAGGGCACCTAACAACAACAGGATCATTTTAATGGTTCTCTTAAAAAGAAAGGACAGAGATAGAGGAAAGTAATATATGTTGATCATTTGTTACATAGCAAATACTATGCGCTGCACAGATGTAACATTTAACTTATGAACAATCAACTATAATACTGACGTTTTGTTAATAAGAAATTCGACTTTCATTGTCACACTATAAGTGACAGAGTTGCATTTTATTTCATTTTTAGACTTTTTATTGTGATTTGGGTGAAAGTTTACAGAGCAAATCAGTTTTCTATTGGGTAATTAAAAAACATTTTGTTTCATACCATTGATTCCAATCCCCACAATGTAATCACTCAGGCACTTCCTCCCTATTTTCCATTTCCATTCTTCCTTCTTTCTTATCCCTTTCCAGCCTCCTGAGCTTTGTCCTTTTGATCTCAAATGGTAGATTGTTCTAGGGAGTGTGTACCTACTGAAATTGTTTACTTTATCTGTCTATTATTGTTTGGCTGAAAATTGAGATGTTAGTTCAGTTCTACACTTGAAGAGTGACTAAGGGCTATTGTTTCCAGGGTTCTATCAGTCTATCTGACCAGTGTGTCTGGTCTTTTTCATAATTTTGAGATTTGTTCCACATTTTTCTCCCGCTCTATCCAAGACCTTCTCATATGAACCATTTCAGAGCAGTCAGCAATGGTAGCTAGTACCATCTAGTTCTTCTGTTCTCAGGATCATGGAGGCTGAGGTTCACATAGTCCATTGGTTCTTTGGACAAATTGTTTCCATGTGTCTTTGATTTTCTTCACTCTCCTTTGCTCTGGATGGAGAGAGACAGTAGCTGTAGCTTAGAAGTCCACTCACAAACTTTTAAGACCCCAGTGGCTACTCACCGAAGTAGGACATAGAACATTTGTTAGGTGCCGTCAAGTCGCTTCCAACTCATAGCGACTCTATGCACAGCAGAAGGAAACACTGCCCAGTCCTGCTCCAGCTCCACAATCCTTGCTATACTTGAGCCCAGTGCCACAGCCGCTGTGTCAAGCCATCTCATTGAGAGCCTTACCCTCCTTCATCAACCATCCACCTTACCAAGTATGGCATCCTTCTCCAAGAAATGGTCCCTTCTGACAACATGACCAAAGTAGGTGAGACCAAGTCTGGCCATTCTTGCCTCCAAGGATCATTCCGGCTCTATTTCCTCCAGAGCAGATTTGTTAGATCTTTTAGCAGTCCCTGGTACTTTCAGTATTCTTCACCAACACCACAACTCAAAAGTATCAATTCTTCTTCAGTCTTTTTTAATCATTGTCTGGCTGTCACATGCATATGAGGCGACTGAAAATACCATGGCTTGTGTTAGGCGCACCTTAGTCCTCAAGTAGATATCTTTGCTCTTCAGCACTTGAAAGAGGTCTTTTGCAGCCGACTTTCCCAGTGCCATACGTCCTCTCATCTCCTGACTACTGCTTCCACTGGTGTCAATTGTTGAACCAAGCAATGTGAAGTCTTTGACAACTTCAATCTTTTCTTCATTTATTGTGATGCTGCTTATAGGTCCAGTTGTGAGGATTTTTTGTTTTCTTTATATTGAGATGTAATCTATACTGCAGACTGTATTCTTTAATCTTCATCAGTAAGTGGTTTAATTCATCCTCACTTTCAGCAAGAAAAGTTGTGTCATCAGTGTATTGCAGGTTGTTAATGATTCTTCCTTCAATCCTGATGCCAGGTTCCTCTTCATATACTCCAGTTTCTCAGATTATTTTCTCAGCATATAGATTAATTGAGTATGGTGAAAGGATAATACAACCCTGATGCAATCCCTTCTTGATGTTTAACCATGTAGTGTCTGTTTGAACGACAGCCTCTTTGTCTATGTACAGGTTCCTCATGAGTACAATTAAGTGTTCTGGATTTCCCATTCTTCTCAATGTTACCCATAATTTATTATGATCCATACAATCAAATGCCTTTGCATAATCAAAAATACATAAGTAAACCTCTTTCTGGTATTTGCTTTGAGCCAAGATCCATCTGACATCAGCAATGATATCCCTGATTTTGAGTCCTCTTCTGAATCCAGCTTACATTTCTGGAAATTCTCTGTCAATATATTGCTGTAACTATTTTTGAATTATCTTCCGTAAGTTTTACTTGTATGCAATATTAATGATATTGTTTGATAATTTCCATATTCTGTGGGATCGCCTTTCTTTGGAATGGGTAGAAATATGGATCTCTTCCAGTTAGTTGGCCAGGGACCTGTTTTCCAAATCTGTTGGTGTAACCAGGTGAGTGCCTCCTGCAGGGTATGTTTGTTGAAATATCTCAATGGGTATTCCATCAATTCCTGAGGCTTTGTTCTTCACCAATTTCTTCAGTGCAGCTTCAACTTCTTCTTTCAATACCATTGGTTCTCGAACAAATGCCATCTCCTGAAATGGATGAAGATCAACCAGTTCTTTTTGGTACAGTGACTCTGTGTATTCCTTCCATCTTCTTTTGATGCTTCCTGCATTATTCAATATTTTGCCCATAGAATATTTCAGTATTGCAACACGAGTGTTCTGGTTACCTAGTGCTGCTCTGACAAGAATATACCACAAA